GCGGTGATTATGTCCATCAGCAACATACAATGATCCTTGACTGTCAATAGCAATGTTATGTGGTAAATCAAACTGTCCATTAGCTGATCCATAGCTGCCAAATGAATGAGAGAAGGTTAAATCAGAATTCAAGACTTGTATACGATGATTACCCCTATCAACAATATAAACCTGTTCTGTTATAGGAGAGATGGCTATACAAGGAGGAGTATTGAGTTGTAGTGGTCCACTGCCCTCCTCACCAACTGATGCTATAAGGTATCCATCCATGCTTATCTTCTGAATCCTGTGCCTATCAGATACAAGTATGAATTTGTCTGGAGTAATGGCTACACCACGAGGAGAAGAAAACTTGACATTGCCACTTCCTCCTTTCCCTCCTAATGATACCACTTTCTTTCCTTCTCTATCCAGTATTGTTACACAGTGACCATCACGTTCAGTTATTATAACTTGATTATCATCACTTACAACAACTCCAAAGGGATTCTTAAAGTTAGTTATAGTACAAACTGGAGTGATGTTATCAAGGTAAGGATTGATAGGGATGACTAGGGAGGTATCCTCAAGGTGTACATCATATACTTGTACTTTTACTGTATGAGTACCACTGGTTGAAGGGTTACATAGTATCCTATACACTCCAGGATCAGTCCTGGTGGTAGTGATTGTAGTGTGAATGGGTTGATCACTTTTACCTACTGGTAGTAGGCTACACCTCAGAGAAGAGAGGGGAACACACAAAACAGATGAATCTGGTGCCTCCATTGATAGTGAAAATGAAACTTTCTTCTCTTTCGGTAGACATTCAAAGCAACCAACTTTCTTTATTTTACACTGCTGTAGAGCAGTAGATGAATAAGTCACAATATCTCCAATGTGATGTAGCAATTTCATATCTTTACTCAATACAAAGTCGGCCTTTTCCTTTGGATGTAACTCCTCCGCATTGATCCCTGCAGTAACTTCACTCATACGCTCCATCATCTGTTTCTTAGACCTCAGGACTTGTTGAGGACTGCCTGTCTTCAGACTCTGTTCCACATAATCCTCAACATCCTCCAGAAGACTCAAACTCATTTCTGCTGATTTCATTTGCTCTGACAGCACCTTTAGTTTAGCATCAGTGACCCTCTTTGCTTGCTCAGTCAGTTTCCTCTCAGACTGACGAAGAGCATTCATCATTTCCTCTACCATTTCATGTATTTCTTCTAAGACTCCTTCTCCCCTCTCTCGGATCTCACCCTCTTTCTCTGTTAGAGCAGACAGGACTTTCTTGAGTCCTTCAATTTTCTCTTTTACTGGATTAAGAGAACCTTCCAATTCTTGACAGTGTTTAGTATAACTGGCAGAAACTAAGTCATACTCATGGTCTTTATGAGTACGGACTGTACAGTCACGACATATAACACTATCACATGTTTCACAGTAGAGCTCCGAAAGCTTTCCATGATCACTACAAGTGGCCTCTTGAGGATTTGGCAAAACTGCTATCTTTTTGATTGTACTGTATATCTCTTTGAGGTTGTTTACATGAAATGCTACAGGAAAGGCTCCTGCTCCTTCTTCTGGTAACTCTGTACAATGACGACAAGTGGGACAAGAGAGGTAATAGGTTTTATTCTTCTTATCCAAAGGTAATCCCTCCAGACAGTGCTCACAGAATGAATGTAGACAAGGTAAAGTCTTAGGGTTGGTAGAGTGGTCAAGACACACAGGACAGGTGAGCTGTTCCTCCAGTTTGAGGAGACCAGGAGAAGAAAATGAAGATGTTTTGGTTGCCATTTAAAAAAATGTGTACATAAAGCAAGAACAAAAATGAAAAAAGACAAAGGTAGAAGATGGTAAATGAAGATAGAACAAGAACGAACAAACTGAAAATGAAGTAGTCAGAATGAACAAAAATGAGAGTAGCCCGGGGAAAGATAGCCCTGATGACCTCTTGGAATATTCTATATAGTCCTGTGACTACAGGAAGTTATGATAGCATATAAAAATAATAACATTCCTTTCACATAGCAATCAGCTAAACCAACTAGATCTATACATGCTTCTTTGATTCTTTTGCTTCACTTATTTCATTATTCATAAAAATGAGTAATTTAGTATTACACTGGCAACATGAATGTTGATAAATCAATACAGGCTCTCTTTGTGAATTATGTACTGTAGGGTGCCTTTCTTTGAGGGCTGCAAATTTTAAAAATATGCTTAAAAATCTATTTTGTGGATTCAATTTTTGCGAATTTATGCCATCTGCAGAGGTAAATTTATATGTACATTAAGGATAAAAATATCATATCTCTGGAGTATTTCCGATGTATGTACAAATATCTAACTAAAATGGAAGATTTAAGGACATGTAAGCTAAATATGAGAGACCAAAAGCTCCTATAAACTCACT